GAACCCAAGAAAAAAAAAAAAAAAAAAAAAAGAAAAAGAAAAAATACTTTCACCAAATGGAAGCTTCAACCTTTCATATCTATAAAAAGCACAATGTTCCATTAGCTGTGTCCTCCTTCAATGCCTGAAGGATTATATAAGAGAAGAAAGCTTCTGAAATGCCACTCTTTGAAAACATCCCAGCATATCACAGTATGGGAAATTTCTGTAAAAACTCAGCTACTAAAGACAATAAAATGTTTTACATTTTAGTGACATTTGCCTCCCCCTAATTCCTAGATGGCTGCTTTTCTTTCAGGATTGTCACACTGTTTTAAAATGAATTTCTACTTCTACACTGCACAATAACAAACAATATGCTGTCCTTACGTTTCTAGTTATCAGCTAATCATTACTGTCAACTGGCTCTTAGTGTTGACTGTGGTATTATTATCCTTTTAAAGATGTTGTAAACTTTCAGGTCTCTTGTTTTTATCTGAAAATAGAGAAAAGCCCAACACTTGTGATGCTATGTCTGGATTCAATTAGTCTCTAGGAAACTCAGGAAGTAGTTAATGTATCTAATGTTATTTTCCAAACATAATAAACAGCTATTTTTTGGAGAAATAGAAAAGTAAATATCCAAAGAAGAGATGTTAGATTTAAATTTTTTCCTTAAGGAAAAAAAATATAGACAGTAAAACTGTTTCACAGCTTACATGTATACTAATGACTATTACTAATATTCTACCAAGTTCAATCCCCAGTACACATATATACATAATTCTAAAGAGAAAATCATGGATTTAAACCAAAACAATGTATATACCCAGTTTTATGCAATATTTTAATGCTGCAATATTTTAATGCAATATGGCATCAACAAAAATTTGCAGGGAACTGTTTTTAGAATCCCTGCACATACTAAGGTCCAAGGATGACTCTCCTATACATGAGATCATATCTAGGATTCCTTACAATATCTAATATTACATACACATTATGTGAACTGTTATCTTATACTGTTAGGGAATGACAACAGAAAAAAAAAGTCCATACATGTTTGGAATAGCCACATTTATTTTCCTGAAAAATTTCAATCTGAGGTCTGTTGAAACCATGGATATAGAACACATGGATACAGATGGCCAACTATGTACTCGGTAATATTGGATTATTGATTATTTATAAATATCTTCAGGCTGGAGATACTGTGCAGAGGCAGAGTGCCTGCCTAGCATGCACAAGGCCCTGGGTTCAATCCCTGATACTGAAAAAATAAAAATCTTGGGAGTAAAATTCTATAGATACTTGCTCTAACTATGCCAGTTTCAGGTAATCTGACTTTTCTTTTTGTCCTTCTCAGGGAATAATAAGATCAGTGTTGCTGAGTAACAGCCATCAAGGCAGGCTCTCCTGAGAAATATTCACAGAGCAAGATTACTATTTAATAGTCACGGTATTTAGAGTAAAGACAGCACTCTTAAAGTTTCCTCCCTGTATGCTGAGATGAGCTACTCTGAAAAGAAGTTATCCAACTGTATAGTATGTTCCATCAAAATCTGTCTCATCGTGCAATACCAACTCTAAACCTGACTGGGCTCGGAGTACAGAAATACTTGCTCTTCTTGGTCTGGTGTCAAGTTTCCCTCTAAAACTTTGAAAATTTTAACAATGCCACCTATACACTTCCCCTTTCGCCTCTATTCTTTTTCAGGTGCTGCTTGTTGGAAGGTTTTTTGAATAGCTCTTACTCAGTTATAAAAGGCAACATGATTCTCTTGATAAACACATTTACTTAATTTGGGGGGGTGGTTCTGAGCAAAGATCTTGCTTTGTAGCTCAAGCAGGCCTTGAACTCTCTCCTCTGCCTCAGCCCCCTAATGCTAAGGTAACAGATGTGCACCACCACACTCAGCAAAAGCAACACATTCATTTCTAGATTCACTATTAGTGTGCCACAATTATGCACCTGCAAAAAAATATTTTGCTGAGAAACACTAATATGTTTATGGGTTAACAGTCTCTTTAGGAGTACAGCTGGAGTTGTGCTACTTGAATTACCACCCCCTACTAAGTGTTACACTTTGTAAGGTTAGGGCTGTACATACTCATTTTATTAATCCATGCCTACCTAAAGTTTTTCTTTTCTTTCCTTTTCTTTTTGACTCAAGGTCTTGCTATGTTACCCAGGCTGGCCTTGAACTTGGGATTCTCCCACTTTAGCCTCCTGAATACCTGGGAACACAGATATGTGCTACCACACCCACATAACAGGGTATACCACGCAAAGTATATAACAGCATTTTATGAAGTTTAGTATAACCAAGGTACTACATTAATACTCATATGAGACTAACGGAAATGTGGCAAATAAGTCTGCAAAATAGAAAATATATGTACTGAAATGCAAGTTACCTCTGACTTACTTCCTTGATGACCTTATACATATCCTGGGAGTAGGTCTGAATTATTTGGTCTCCTCAGATTTCTACTAGAAACACTGAGCTTGAGGTTAATCTTAAAGCATTATTTTCTAGTGTTTAGCAAATGTTCTAAATCCTATGCATAGCATAAGAATCACCTGGGAGGGCTGGGTTATGTAGCTCAGCGGTTTGCCACCTGCCTTGCAAGGACAGTGATCAGAGTTCAATCTCCAGCACAAAAAGGGGA